TGTAATATCTACTTGGTACTATGATGTCATTTCTACTTGGTACTAGCATGTCATTTCTACTTGGTACTATGATGTCATTTCTAATGTGTATATAGTTATATATATGTATATATCTAATAGTGAATAAAAACTAACCTCTTACATAGGCAGAGTGATCAAATGCTCTGTCTATCTTATGAGTAAACCTCATATCCAACAACTTTCTGTTTGTTTCCAGCACCTCAGCTTTCAGTCTCTCTCGTCTCTTAGTCATTCTGAAAAGTGTTGGGCTCAGGATGGGAAACTTTAATAAATTCAGTGTGGTTCCCGGCCACAGGGATATGGTGGCCTTGTGAAGTATATTGGATACTTTAGTCTTGCAGTAATCTGATTCAAGTAAGCGGTTAAAAAGAGTTGATTTGCCAACATTAGTACAACCAACCAGGTAGACATCGCCTTTGTATCTCCAGATTTGTTGCATCTGGGTTATTAAGTCCTCAACACCAAACCCAGACTTTGCACTAATGAGCGCCACATGTCTGATATTTTGAAGAAGAGCTATGCCCGCTTCTACACATTCTTGGATTATTTTAGTCTTGATGTGCTCCAAATACTTGGGGGAATCCTTCGGCAAGATGTCTAGTTTGTTACCAACAATAATGGTCTGTTTGTTATTACCAATAATTTCTTTTAGATTTGGAAAAATACTGCAAGGAAAATCCATCAAATCTACCATGCAGATAACCATAGCGCGTCGTCTTTTGATCTGTGATATTAGTTTAACAAAATCTGTTGGTGTTACTTTGACATCTAAGGCTAACTGGTAACGAGTCAGCAACCAACATCGTTGGCAGATTGTTCTCTCAAGTTCAAGATGGTTTAAGGATGTGAATTTTTCACTTGGAAGATAGCCAGGTTTTGCGATATCATGACAATGAAGTGTTGCGCCACACCCTGCGCATGGCATCATGCTGCTGGCAATGCTAGGGTCGGGAGTTCCGTAGATTTTCTGTGTGGCTGGTAACCTAGCTTTTCTGATTGGCTGACGTTTTCTCTTCAGTGATTTCAAAACTTCCATCACTTCGTTTTCTAGACTACCTGAGGCAACAGTGCCAGCATGAAAGCTATGGTCCTCAAATGTCCCATGTGTCTTCTTGGACAATAAATCTGATATTTTAGGTGGCATTTGGTCAAGGTCAATGTCTAGATGAGACTCTTTACTTAGATAATCAAAGTTACCATGCTGGTCTTCCTCTGCTACTGGTTGCTCTTTAAACTCTGTTGTTTTTTGAAAAGGAAGATCATCTTTTTTCGACAAAAGTTTTGTAACTTTTTTAATGAGTTCTTTCTTCAATTTATCAAGATCATCTTCCAGTTTCTCCTGGAAAAAATCTTCCTCTTTGACCAAGGTATCTATAAATATACTTCTCTTGACTTTTTTTGTAGTTGACCTGCTCAAATCAGATTGCAAAATATCTGCATTTTCTTCAAACTTGTTCCCAGATCCAAAATATTGTTGATCAATTTCGTTATCAAAATCATCATCTTGAAAACTGACACTGTGACTCACTGGAGTTCTATTTATATACTTAGTTACTTCATTGTCTGATTGATCATCTTGTTTGCCTGTTATGCTTTTATGCTCTATAAAGTTATGCTTCTTGTCAGCTGTTGAACTGAAATACTGCCTATCAATCTCTCCAAAATCATTGAGCTCTTTAGAAATATCATTATTAGTATGTATATGAGAACTGGTGCCTTTAACCGAATTGCCGTCATACATACGGCTGAAATACTGCTGGTCGATTATATTCAAATCATTCGATTCAGCAGACGAATTGTCGAACTTTTCATAGCGACCTCTATCGACAATGGTTTCTGATCTTTCTTTTCTGGAACAGTTCCACACTGTGCTTGAATGGATTGTTCGTGCAATGAATCTCGTGCCCGTAGCTCTTGTCGAACTCATGGTCGCATCAGTCAATGTTCTTACCGTGAAAAAACTTTGAGATATGTTGTGAACCCTTTTCACACTCCTCGAGATGTTGTAAACCTTTCTTACGCTCATCGGACTGGTCCTTAGCCTATGCGCAATCAAGAACATTCTGGCCCGTGCTGGAAGTTGCCAAATATTTTTGCAAATTACCAGATTCTAGGAAGCTTTTGTACCAGAAACATTGAACTTTCGTGGAAATCGGCTAAAAATAATAGTTACATACACATCACATAACCCATAATCTATCTCAGCTGTCTTCGAATCACGCGTGGGTATTCACTTCCGTATCACGTGTGTATGTATGTTTGTTTCTTATTACTTTTCTAGATGTACATCGCAGACATCTCGACTTGGAGGATTACGTTTAGTTTCTAGGCAGCTTCAATGACATAGTGATGCTTACGTGAATTTGTCGTAAACAGATATTTGGCGTCGAGAATTTTAAAAGCTGTCGTGAAGAATTTTAAAAGCTCACGCTACCTTTAATATTTAGCGACGAGGAGCAAAAAGAAATAATATTGTAGCAGAAGTGAGAAACGAAATATGGCGTCGCCAGCAAGGATTGTGTTGCTGGCGTGCGGATCTTTCAATCCAATAACAAACATGCATCTTCGAATGTTTGGTAAGTTTCATTCATTCATTGCTCTAACTCAGTTTATTTTTGTTCAAGTTTACTGATATCCTTGTTGAAATCTGTCGAAAAATATTGTGTGACACAAATGTGTTACAAGTTTGAATCACTGATCACAGAGTCATTCATTCATTCATTGCACGTATGGTTAAGTTGAGTGTAGTCGACTGACGTGACTCGATCCATCGGCCTGTAACTGGCATGGAGTGGATAACCAATTTCGGATTTAGCAATTCCACCGCATCTATAGACTGTCTGTGTCTATTCTCAGCCAATGTAAAAAGTATTGGAAGTGGTTGCTGGTTAGCCGTGTGTCGTGTGATTGATGGTTGAGCCACGGCCGCGTTTTCCAGAAAAATAATATCGAGAGCCTGGTTAAATTTGTTTTGGCAGGAATTGATGTAGAGGTGATAACCTGCGCATTGATTTATGCAATTCCTGGTCTCTCCACGACTGTCTATATTATTGTATATTATAAAGTTTCAATGTATTACAAGAATATTAAATATATGTTGACACTGTGTAATTATGTGGGTTTGACTCTTGTCTAGTCAGCTACTGGGGGAGAATTTCAAATATATGTGGACATTGTGTAATCATTTTATTTCGGCTTGAGTCTGATCAGCTGCTGAGGAGAATATTAAATATATGTAGTCTGGTCAGCTATAATTAATATGACCAGAGTCTTTTTAACTGTTCAATTCCAGAAGTCTATTGTAAGGGTTTCAGTCATGAAGTAAATGTTTTGTTTTGAATATAAAAATGATATGGATGTGAGATCACTGTGCACTCAGTTGTCCACATAAAATTAACTTTGTTGTCCATATAAAATGAATTCAATTGTCCACATAAAATTAACTCAGTTGTCCACATACAATTAACTGAGTTGTCCACATACAATTAACTGAGTTGTCCACATACAATTAACTCAGTTGTCAATATAAAATTAACTGAGTCGTCCATATAAAATTAACTCAGTTGTTCACATACAATTGAGTTGTCCACATAAAAATAACTCAGTTGTCCACATACAATTAACTGAGTTGTCCACATACAATTAACTGAGTTGTCCATATAAAATTAACTGAGTTGTCCATATAAAATTAACTGAGTTGTCCATATAA